AAAAAGAAAAGTTTTGGACAGAAGGCGGTTTTTAGGAATAAAATATTTAAAAAAATCGGGAAATATTTTTAGTTCGGATATATCGGGATATATTGTTAATCGGGAAGTTCCGCCCCTGCTCACTCCGTTCTTCAACCCCCGACGCTTGTGGTCAGGCCTACCGTGGGAGGTTTTCGTGATTTTCCTCTCCATTTAACACAAATGTGGGTTAGATCCATCAAAAAGTCCTCTACGAAGGCAAAATTTCTCCAAATGATTTATCCAGTAGTTCACTTGTCTTCTGGATTGGGTTCAAAATTACGACGCTACAGAGTTGAACATGAGTATTCGTAAACTTAAAAATGGGTCTGNAATGTTCAACTCTGTAGCCTTTTAATTTTGAACCCAATCACCACGGCTCACGTGTATGAAATTTGAAAAAAGAAAAGTTTTGGACAGAAGGCGGTTTTTAGGAATAAAATATAAAAAAAATCGGGAAATATTTTTATCATTAGTAGGAAGTTCCGACCCTGCTCACTCCGTTCTTCAACCCCCGACGCTTGTGGTCAGGCCCAGCGTGGAGGTTCTCGTGATTTTCCTCTCCACGTAACACAAATGTGGGTTAATTCCATCAAGAAGCCCTAAACAAATTCAAATTTCTCCCGATACTTGATCCAGGAGTTCACTTGTCTTCTGGAATGGGTTCAAAATTACAACGCTACAGAGTTGAACATGAGTATTCGTAAACCCAAAAATGGGTCTGCTTTCCAACAACGGTTATAAAATATAAAAATAAGTTTGGTTCTTGGGCCTTCTTAAATTTTATTATTATTTTTTCTTTCTTAAGAACTGTCTTATAGAATTTTAAGTTTAATGAAGCATGAGTTTATATCCTTTTAATACTTATATCACAATTTTCTTATTTTATTATTCTTTAAAATACATTGAGTATATTAAATATATTTAGTATATGCTAAGTCCTCAAGATATTGGGAAGCAAGAGAACTTTTAAGGCAATGACTTCGGTCTTCGTTCTTTGTTATCCTACGTACATTTGTATTCATTATTTATTTCGTCTTTCTATTTGTACCTTTTGCCTTGCCATTTGAAATTTTAAATAAAATAAATAAAATAAAAAACCTTTAGTATATGTATGTTTGACATGTAGTGGGAACGCCAACAATTCTGTTCAGTCCTGTACGTGAGCCCAGTTTTCGAGTTATCTACGACAAAACTCTCTAGCACTAATATCTTTCTGCAAGATACTTTTAATAAAAACGAACATATGTGTTACTAATTTAAAATAACAAATTCAGAGTTTACAAGCAAAAAACTGTATAATTTGTTTTTAATTGAACGTTTAATAATTTTTTATTCTTATATCGTGAGTGATATTCTAAGATCGTGTTGCGCACAAATTACTTCCTCCTTCGTATTTTGTAAATAATCATCTCAATAAAAAAAAATTTAAAAATCATGAAATCCGTAGTAGTAATTGCCGAAAAAAAGATCGCCGACGAAATCACACGAATATAACTCCTCAAATGACCTGTTTCGATTCGAGATTAGGTTGTTGTAATAAGTAATATCGTATAAAAGATATCGGATTTAAAAACTATGGAGAAATCGATAGCAGTAACTGCCAAAAATCCGATAGAATCATTGCCTTAAAAAGAAAATACTCTAATGCACGATTCGAATTTTTCCATATTGCTTGAAATATATCGGGATATTCAAAAACCACGTGAGAATCAATATCAATAACTGCCCAGTGCCCTACCAAGCAGGCTATCCCGGTCAAGTGTAAATTTCTGAAGAAAAGAATTTTTTTTTTTAAACTTTGCAAAAGAAAAATCTTTCTGCAAGAACTCAGTAACGTTCTGCTACTATGTCGCCGTATTGCTGCGATTTTGCCACGAGGTACGTGAGTGTGTTTACCGTCACTAGTGTAACATTTCCCTATGCATTTTCAACATCAGATTCTGATCTCCTGTGTAACAGGAAATAGTATTTTTTTTTCTTCTTTCCTTTTTCCACTCCTAGTCACCTGAAAGCGATTTAAGCACTTAAGGTCTGAGCATATAACATGGCATTTAACAAGCCATCCCTGTTGTAATTGTAAGGATCGATGCACAACATTGTATCCCCCCAATAAGGATCTGCTTTCCTTTACAATTCAGTATGTGCAAGCAAGAAATGACAAGACCAAAAAAAGAAAAAATAGTTGTGCAAATCGAGCTGTCCGTTCATCCCGTTGTCAATCTTCGGGAACAAAACCAAAAGGCGTGACAATAAGGACTGAAAACATCTGTCCAAGCATTTTTCCTTTTTTGCGTACAACAAAAAATATTATAACATTTCGAAGTGGGTATTGAACCAGATGCCCACCCCGTTCCACAGAAGGATTATACACACCACGTGGTGTGGTGCATGCGAAAGTCACGATTTGTAATGTTCTGTGTTTATATAAAAAGCACTTGGACAAGCGATTGGCGTGTCAATCATTTGAGGATCAAAATCTGGGACTTCTTTATGTTTTTTTTAAAGATATCGGGGATGAAAAGACACTGTTTTTTAGGGTGACGCGTCACGCCCGTCACGTTTTTAGAGCCAATGTCATTTTTGTCTAAAGTTTTCGTCTATCAAAACCCAGAAGCGCGATTAGATACGTTCCTCAAACGATAACTTTCCCACAGGGTTGACACTGATCTGGGCAACCCCCACCTCGCTTAGAGCTGTCAATCAGGCAGGGCGGCAGCTGGGATACGAGACAGACAAGTCCTGCCAACCGTGATGGGGAATGTTTCAATATTCAACTAAATCCGAGATGACAACTACCGATAAGGAGGGAAGCACCCCAATAATAATAATAACTGGGATGGGATAATGCTGGGAGCACCTACAATGGCAACTGGCTTAATAAAAGAACGCGTTAGTTGTAAACGTTATAAATTAGAGTTATGTGACCAACTTACACCTGAAATAAATAATCTAACCAGAAGTCTCCATAGTATATACCAGCAAAAAGTTTTTGATCAAGATGAACTAATGGGGGGAAAAAAATTTAAAAATTATTATCGTCTTATTACGACCACTGGTTACCCATTGGTCAAATGCTTTTTCTTTCTGGATTGACTCCGTTAAACACCACAACATTTCAAATCATGGGTTGCAAAAACCGTCTCAATGGATGTTTTTCGTCGGATTGGTTTTCAAATCCTGCCTATTGTACGTGTTTCGAGACGTCACAAAATACTTTTCCTTCCTCAACATTCATATTTATATTGAAATCACCGTCAAGCCAGTAATTATACGTTAATAATAAAAATAATGTAGAAATGCTTAAAATTATTATTATGTAAGTACATTAAAAATGCCTGCTAGTGAAATAAAAAGAAAAACGGCAGCGGTCGCCATAGCAACTCATGCAATGACGACGCATGCGCACTGTTTACTATTACTCTTGAACTCAGTTGAAAAGTGTGTGGACGCCATCAAATCCAAACCAAGACTCATTTTGCCAATTGGTAAAAAATAACACTGAAGGAAAAGAACACAGAAAAAAATACACCATTTAATTATACGAATTTAAACACCGACTTTATTCTAGTCATTAAATCTGAATCTCAGGAAATTAAATTTTAAAAAATATGGATATTTTTGAATAAATTAATGTGCAATAATGATTTAAAATAATCAATATACAAGTTTTACGAAGAGGAGAACAAGTTTTAAAATTTTTGTTTTTTCTTCTTCTAACTATTGATTTTTAGACTACAAAAACTATATCTGATTGCGCTTTGAACGTTCAGAATCTCATCGCTCAGAATTATTATTTTTCTAGAGACTACGAAAACTATATCTAATTGCGCTTAATAATAATAAGGAGAAAAAAATGATGAAAAAAATATAAATTTTTTCTAGAGACTACAAAAACTATGTCTAATTCCGCTTTAAACATTCAGAATCTTATTATTTTTCTAGAGACTATAAAACCTGTGCCTGATTGCGCTTTAAACATTCAAAATCTTATAAATTTTTTCTAGAGACTACGAAAACTATATCTAATTCCCCTTAATAACAATAAGAAGAAAAAATGATAATAAAAAATAATGATAAAATTCAGAATCTTATAAATTTTTTCTGGAGATTTCAAATACTATATCTAATTGCGCTTTGAACATTCAGAATCTTATTTTATCATTTTTCTAGAGACTATAAAAACAATCTGATTGCGCTTTGAATATTCAGAATCTTTTTAATAGTTCATTACCTGCCATTAACAAAAACAAAAAGAATCCGATTAATTGTTTCCAGTGACGATAAAAACTATATCTGATTGCTCTTAGAAAGTTCAGAATTTTATAAATATTACCCAAAAACTACATCCGAATGATGACTGAAATTACATATTAAGAATCATTTTTGCCAAATCAAGCAACATTTAACCCCAAAAGAGACGGATACATAGAAATATTGTTGTTTAACAGGAGCGCGAGTTCTTCAGAACCTCGAAAGTTAGATAGATACATTCGGGTAAAGCAACTTCCAGGGGCAGATGGGAAGAGAAGACCTATAAATGGGGGGAGGTCCCATTAAAAAAGGCGGCCGTCAGCGATATCTTTTGAGAATGATGGATGCGAGTAAAGGAGGTCGCTTCATTAGGGAGGACCCTCATTATCCAGAGGCCTGCCAATTACGATGCACACTCTTTTCAATTTTACTCTCCCCTCCCCTAACCCCTTCATAGTTGGGTCACTGGTGCTACTACCACCTATTATTTGGCATAGGAAGGACGATATTTAAATGCTACAAAATATATTATTCTTGGAAAAACTTTTGGTCTTATTACTCTATTATCTTTATGATTGTATCGGAAACTTTTATGCATCAAGTACATTTTGCATCAAAAATGGTTGCATATTTATACCTAGAATTGAAATGCATTTTACAGTCGTATGCATCAAAAATAGTTGCATATTTATACCAGGCATTGCTAAATTTTGTAGAACAATGTAAAGGGAGTACGAGGAAGAAGAAAATTTTTTTTATTATTTGATGATTCAGGGGTCTGTTCGGACCGAATTTACTACCGTTTAGCGGTACCTCCACAAATTCAACTTTAGGAGAAACGGTAGTTTCACAAATTTAATTTTAGGAAAAACGGTAGTTTCACAAAATACTTTTTCTTAAAATTTTATTTTTGTATTCCTTAAGAAATGATAAATCCATTTTCTTGCCATATTTTTGTGTTGGATTTTTAAATATAATTTTTAATTTTTCACAAGTTATGTCTAAATTTTCACAAAATAGGTACCTCTCAGAAAAACCTTAGACAGACCCTACTTTAACCGTTAAACTCTAGCAAAAGAAAGGAAACATACGGGTTATTTTGCAGCGCTCCTCTCAGATCAGCAACTGCCGAATTGATATTTGACGTGATATAAGGACTATTTTCATTTGTGTAAAGCTATCGCTAGTTTTTTTCTTTTTTTTTTTCTTTTTCGAAATTACAATTGATTCGCAAGTTATAGCAATTTAAGTGTTGTTGTTTTTTTCATTCTTTTCCCTTTAAACAATGATTATTTATCCATTGTTGTAGAAAAATTAATCCCTCTCGAGATCTTCATATTATAAGCTCACGCTTGCGTTGATATTTAAAAGACCGAAAGTAAAAAAAAATATAAGGTTGGAAAACTTAGATGTTGCCAGACATAAATCTTAATATATTTTTTGGAGTTTTAAAAATATATGTGTAAAAATAATATTGAATATATATGTGAAAAACTTGATTCAAGAGAGAAAATAAAATCCTCTTTTATAATCTTATAAATCTTGTTAACTAGTAAAAGTAGTTCCCATTCTTCTTATTGCTTCATTACTACGTGTGTTCATAAGTTAAAATATTTATTTTAAAGTGTAGTTTATTTATGTATTTTAAAAATTTAGATAAACTCTTATTTCGTTAAAATTTACATCTCAACAAAATGCTCTTATTGCATGAACTTATTTCAAGACACATATATTTTGTTAACAAAATATTTTTTTAAAAAAAATATCGACTATCGAGGGGGAAAAAAAAAAATAAGTAAGAAATAATTACTGGGGTTGGTGAACGGAGTCTCCTTTACTAATTAAACATTGCTGTAGACGATGTTTCATTTATTTTCTGCGTAAAATAAAGTTTAAAATACTTAATTATTTTAAGAAAATAGTCTGAAAAACTTAAAATGTTCCAAAATACCAATATCGCAAACAACTAAAAAAAAAAAAAAAAAAATTTAAAAATGAATTATCCGCCCCCGGATAATCGAAAGAAAATATTTATTTAACATTTTTACGTAGTCATGTGTAAAGCAATGTCTGAAAAAAAAATACATATTTTATGTTTCAGTTTTTTATGTTTCATATCCATGTTGTATTTTCAGCGTCCACTTAAAACCAGTGATTGACAGGTATTTCGTGACTTACAAGACAACATTGTTCGATTCGGAAAATTCTATTTTACACTTACACCCCTCAAGATTTCTTTTTCCTCCCTTGTAATTGACGAATTGAAACATGTCCTTTTTGAAAATGAAAACGAAATGAAAAATATATCTATATCTATATATATATTATTTATATAAAACTGCTTCTTTCGAAGCCTCGGGGAGAGAAACATGAGCCTTATAAAATTCGGCCGCTGTCCGAGATTGAATGGGGGGTGGGGAATGAATTGCACCAGGTGCCTCTACAATTTCATAACCGAACTTTCGAACTTGTTCGTCCTGAATTTTAGGATTAAAGTTTTCTTTTGTTTATGTTTCTTTTTTCCCTTTCTTTTTATGGCACTACCCCCTCCCCCCTCGATTCTAAAGGGGATTTTTTAAAATTTTCTCAGTAAAAGTAAGGGAATAGATATTCCATAGTACAGGGTTGCCACAGGCGACTAAAATGCAACTATTTTCAGGGTATCTGCGCAACTGGAAACTCGTGAATTTCAGTATTGAACAAAATTTGTCATGATCGAGCGAATTATCTTTTAAACTTCTGTGATTTCAGAATTTTTGTTATTATTTTTTTTATTTTATCAATTTAAAATTCTAGCTGAAGCAAGCCAGTCATTGACGAATTTTTTTTATTCTGAAATGAGAACAGAAAAATCAGGAATATTTCTTTCTAATTCTGCAGAAAAAAAGAAAAAAAATTTTGCTTCTGTATTTTTTTCAGCTATTTTATTGCTTCAACTCCTTCTTTACTCTGTTTTTTAAATATAAAATCTATAAATATGAAGATGCAGAGTATAACAGTTTTAGTTATACCTATCATTTCAATGAATGTCATTATAATGCTTTTTTAAATTTATTGTTGTGTTTTTGTCGGAGAAAATAGTAACTTCGTTAAGTCATGAAAAATTCTTGGAATTAGTCATGGATATGAAAATCTAAAATATAGCAGATACCCTGTATTTTTTTTCGGCATGAGGCAACTATAGCAACTTTTTTTTGCCTGAAAAGGCTGAAAAAGCAACTATTTTCAGGAAAACATGATTTCTAGGGGGTATTGGGAGACTTTTCTTTTCTCCTAGCGATGTTTTTTTAGCATAAATTGGGATGAAAACCTGCAGCCCTCGAGAGCTTCTGAGCACACTGAATTTTTTTTTTTTCTTCTTAAAAAATAAAAAATGTTGAAAATTTTGAAATACAAACTTGATTCATCACTTTTTAATTCCTTTAATTATTAATAGAACTTAATAGGTTAATTACTTTATATGAATGTAGTTCTATGTAAAATATTAATGTGTATTAATCTTTCTATAATGATTTTAATGTTTAAGTGCATGTTTATATATAAATATATATAATTTTGTCAAAAATAAATAAAAACTTTATTTGCATATTTAATAAAATTATTCTATCATAAAAAAATATTTTGAGCTTTGGATTGTGTGCGCAGATACTTAATGTTTTTATCTTACTATGGTGATTAGGACAAGGATAAAGAGGGNAGGGTTATCCCTTATTTGGCTATATTTGTGTTAAATGGGAGCTTCTGAGCACACTGAATTTTTTTTCTTCTTAAAAAATAAAAAATGTTGACAATTTTGAAATACAAACTTGATTCATCACTTTTTAATTCGTTTAATTATTAATAGAACTTAATAGGATAATTACTTTATATGAATGTAGTTCTATGTAAAATATTAATGTGTATTAATCTTTCTATAATGATTTTAATGTTAAAGTGCACGTTTATATATAAATATATATATTTTTGTCAAGAATAAATAAAAAATGTTAAATAGTTAACTTTTTTTGCATATTTAATAAAATTATTCTATCATAAAATAATATTTTGAGCTTTGGATTGTGTGCGCAGATACTTAATGTTTTTGTCTTACTATGGTGATTAGGACAAGGATAAAGAGGGATAGTAGGAGAAATGTTAATGATTGGATTGTAATTAAAATTGCATTACTTTCAAATTCTTTTGTATTAAATGGCAAAAGAAAAAAAGAAAGTTTAAATTTGAAGTAAAAGTGTGGGGAAAGGAAATGGTGGGGGAGATTTTTTTGAATTTGCAGATTTCCAGAGTTCTAACCACGGAGGGAAAGCGAAGCAAAGTTTTATAAAATGTATGGAAACATATGTTTTATTTTTTAAAAAAAGTTATTCTACCATTTATTTGAATTTAAGGCTACAGTGGACAACCAAAATCGTGAAAATCACTCGAAAAATCGATTTTCTTATTTTGATCATTTTATATTAATTAAATGATATAAAAAAGAATATTAATTATTAAAATCATAACAATTTGTAAAACATTTGACAATATTAGTGTTATTTTGCTTTTTTATTACAAAAACTTGTTTTTGTCTGTCTTTGTGCAGTGTTTCTCAAAACAAAAATTTTGCATTCTGAGAACTGGAAATTGAAATAGTTCCATGCTTTGTAATTTTGATGACTATTCCATGAAATGTTTTTAGCACACTCTCTAGATCAATAAAAAAAAAATACTTGTAGAGAAAAAATTTCAAGATAAGGTCATAACATATTTTATAGTCATCTCATAAAGGGGCGACTTTCATGTTTTTTTTTTNTTTTTTTTTTTTTTTTTTTTTTTTTTTTTTTTTTTTTTTTTTTTTTTTTTTTTTTTATGGAACTTGCTTTTTCTTCTCTGTATGGAAATTGGTAGAAACATGTGTAAAATTTTTCCCTACAATTTGAAGAGAAATGTAAATAGAGTAGAAATTAACAAATAATCTTTGAACAACATTTAAAACATTAGAAGTAAACATTTAGAGCAAGGAGGTTATTTAAACTTCAAAATAAATCGACAATTTTTTTGAAAGAAATTTAATTTTGCATGAATTATGTATCAAATTATTATTATTTTTTTTTGTGTGTGTTCTCTATCTAAATATGAACAATCTTTGCAAGTTACAGCAATGTAACATTATTTTTTAAGAAAAACTTATTAAGAGTTCACTGTAGCCTTAATTCTGAAATCAAGTAACAACAGTAAAAGTCAAACTAAAGCAAAATACTAGGGGTGGATGTGGGAAGTGTTGCGACTTGCTACGACTTGTCTTGTGTTGCGACTTTCTTACATAATAATAAGGGGTGATTTTCTTATTTTTGCTGATAAGGGGAGAATTATTGCAAAAATCATGCTTACGCAATGGTTGAACAACCCTTAAACATTTTCAAACCGAACATTATCAAACCGATTTTCAAAGCTGAAAAATATTTCTTTAAAAAAAATCTATTAACCTCCAAAATATTTATATTCTAAATACAGAACGATACTGGAAACCTTTCCCGTTATATCAAATCAAATTATTTAAAGCTTGTGTACAATTAAGTTTTCTTACATCATTTATAATAGCTGAATATGTTATGTCCCATCCGAATCAGGGCATTGCATCGTCCACCCCCTACTCCAATGAAAGTGGACAAGAGAGATGACCCTTTGTGGCCATCTGTTTGACCATGGGATACTGCTACCTGTCAATCATTGGATGAAATTTCCACCATCTAAT